TCATGAGATTTTTAATCCCACCCCTCTGCTATTCTCAGCCCATCCCACCTATTTCCGTATGATGTATTATTAACATGGTAAATATAATATAGTATTTGCATTGATTTGTAAGCTCTGTACATTTTCTACTCTAAACACATAACTGACCAGAAGAAGAATATACAGTATTAGCTAACAGTGTGTTAACAATGTGTCCATTGCTATATTCAATCAATTCAATCAATTTTATTTTATATAGCCCTTCTTACATCAGCTAATATCTCGAAGTGCTGTACAGAAACCCAGCCTAAAACCCCAAACAGCTAGTAATGCAGGTGTAGAAGCACGGTGGCTAGGAAAAACTCCCTAGAAAGGCGAAAACCTAGGAAGAAACCTAGAGAGGAACCAGGCTATGAGGGGTGGCCAGTCCTCTTCTGGCTGTGCCGGGTGGAGATTATAACAGAACCATGCCAAGATGTTCAAAAATGTTCATAAGTGACAAGCATGGTCAAATAATAATCAGGAATAAATCTCAGTTGGCTTTTCATAGCCGATCATTAAGAGTTTGAAAACAGCAGGTCTGGGACAGGTAGGGGTTCCATAACCGCAGGCAGAACAGTTTAAACTGGAATAGCAGCAAGGCCAGGCGGACTGGGGACAGCAAGGAGTCACCACGGCCGGTAGTCCCAACGTATGGTCCTAGGGCTCAGGTCTCTCAGTTGGCTTTTCATAGCCGATCATTAAGAGTTGAAAACAGCAGGTCTGGGACAGGTAGGGGTTTCGTAGCCGCAGGCAGAACAGTTGAAACTGGAATAGCAGCAAGGCCAGGCGGACTGGGGACAGCAAGGTGTCATCATGCCCGGTAGTCCTGACGTATGGTCCTAGGGCTCAGGTTCTCAGAGAGAAAGAGAGAACGAGAGAATTAGAGAGAGCATACTTAAATTCACACAGGACACTGGATAAGACAGGAGAAGTACTCCAGGTATAACCAACTAACCCCAGCCCCCCGACACATAAACTACTGCAGCATAAATACTGGAGGCTGAGACAGGAGCGGTCCGGAGACACTGTGGCCCCATCCGAAGAAACCCCCGGACAGGGCCAAACAGGAAGGATATAACCCCACCCACTCCGCCAAAGCACAGCCCCCGCACCACTAGAGGGATATCCCCAACCACCAACTTACAATCCTGAGACAAGGCCGAGTATAGCCCACAGAGGTCTCCACCACAGCACAAACCAAGGGGGGGGCGCCAACCCAGACAGGAAGATCACGTCAGTAACTCAACCCACTCAAGTGACGCACCCCTCCCAGGGACGGCATGAAAGAGCACCAGCAAGCCAGTGACTCAGCCCCTGCAACAGGGTTAGAGGCAGAGAACCCCAGTGGAGAGGGGAACCGGCCTGGCAGAGACAGCAAGGGCTGTTCGTTGCTCCAGCCTTTCCGTTCACCTTCACACTCCTGGGCCAGACTACACTCAATCATATGACCTACTGAAGAGATAAGTCTTCAGTAAAGACTTAAAGGTTGAGACTGAGTCTGCGTCTCTCACATGGGTAGGCAGACTGTTCCATAAAAATGGAGATCTATAGGAGAAAGCCCTGCCTCCCGCTGTTTGCTTAGAAATTCTAGGGACAATTAGGAGGCCTGCGTCTTGTGACCATAGCGTACGTATTGGTATGTACGGCAGGACCAACTCGGAAAGATAGGTAGGAGCAAGCCCATGTAACGCTTTATAGGTTAACAGTAAAACCTTGAAATCAGCCCTTGCCTTAACAGGAAGCCAGTGTAGGGAAGCTAGCACTGGAGTAATATGATCAAATTTCTTGGTTCTAGTCAGGATTCTAGCAGCCGTATTTAGCACTAACTGAAGTTTATTTAGTGCTTTATCCGGGTAGCCGGAAAATAGAGCATTGCAGTAGTCTAACCTAGAAGTAACAAATGCATGGATTAATTTTTCTGCATCATTTTTGGACAGAAAATTTCTGATTTTTGCAATGTTACGTAGATGGAAAAAAGCTGTCCTTGAAACAGTCTTGATATGTTCGTCAAAAGAGAGATCAGGGTCAAGAGTAACGCCTAGGTCCTTCACAGTTTTATTTGAGACGACTTTACAACCATCAAGATGAATTGTCAGATTTAACAGAAGATCTCTTTGTTTCTTGGGACCTAGAACAAGCATCTCTGTTTTGTCCGAGTTTAAAAGTAAAAAGTTTTTTGCCATCCACTTTCTTATGTCTGAAACACAGGCTTCTAGCGAGGGCAATTTTGGGGCTTCACCATGCTTCATTGAAATGTACAGCTGTGTGTCATCCGCATAGCAGTGAAAGTTAACATTATGTTTTCGAATAACATCCCCAAGAGGTAAAATATATAGTGAAAACAATAGTGGTCCTAAAACGGAACCTTGAGGAACACCGAAATGTACAGTTGATTTGTCGGAGGACAGACCATTCACAGAGACAAACTGATATCTTTCCGACAGGTAGGATCTAAACCAGGCCAGAACTTGTCCGTGTAGACCAATTTGGGTTTCCAGTCTCTCCAAAAGAATGTGGTGATCGATGGTGTCAAAGGCAGCACTAAGGTCTAGTAGCACGAGGACAGATGCAGAGCCTCGGTCTGATGCCATTAAAAGGTCATTTACCACCTTCACAAGTGCAGTCTCAGTGCTATGATGGGGTCTAAAACCAGACTGAAGCATTTCGTATACATTGTTTGTCTTCAGAAAGGCAGTGAGTTGCTGCGCAACAGCTTTTTCTAAAATTTTTGAGAGGAATGGAAGATTCGATATAGGCCGATAGTTTTTTATATTTTCCGGGTCAAGGTTTGGCTTTTTCAAGAGAGGCTTTATCACTGCCACTTTTAGTGAGTTTGGTACACATCCGGTGGATAGAGAGCTGTTTATTATGTTCAACATAGGAGGGCCAAGCACAGGAAGCAGCTCCTTCAGCAGTTTAGTAGGAATAGGATCCAATATGCAGCTTGAAGGTTTAGAGGCCATGATTATTTTCATCATTGTGTCAAGAGATATAGTACTAAAACACTTAAGTGTCTCTCCCGATCCCAGGCCCTCGCAGAGCTGTGCAGATCCAGGACAGCTAAGCCCTGGAGGAATACGCAGATTCAAAGAGGAGTCCTTAATTTGCTTTCTAATGGTCATGATCTTTTCCTCAAAGAAGTTCATGAATTTATCACTGCTGAAGTGAAAGCCATCCTCTCTTGGGGAATGCTGCTTTTTAGTTAGCTTTGCAACAGTATCAAAAAGAAATTTTGGATTGTTCTTATTTTCCTCGATTAAGTTGGAAAAGTAGGATGATCGAGCAGCAGTGAGGGCTCTTCGGTACTGCACGGTACTGTCTTTCCAAGCTAGTCGGAAGACTTCCAGTTTGGTGTGGCGCCATTTCCGTTCCAATTTCCTGGAAGCTTGCTTCAAAGCTCGGGTATTTTCTGTATACCAGGGAGCTAGTTTCTTATGACAAATGTTTTTCGTTTTTAGGGGTGCAACTGCATCTAGGGTATTGCGCAAGGTTAAATTGAGTTCCTCAGTTAAGTGGTTAACTGATTTTTGTCCTCTGACGTCCTTGGGTAGGCAGAAGGAGTCTGGAAGGGCATCAATGAATTTTTGTGTTGTCTGAGAATTTATAGCACGACTTTTGATGCTCCTTGGTTGGGGTCTGAGCAGATTATTTGTTGCGATTGCAAACGTAATAAAATATTGACTATGACAAAACTATTCAAACGTTTCAGAGGTCATATGGCCGCTAAAGCCAAAAGCTGATATTCCTTAGTATTTAAATATGTCAGCTCAAAGCAGCCTTAGCCCACAGCTGCAACCACCAGTGTGTGTGTGTGTGTATATGTGGTTGGGGGGAGGGGGCTGAACTAGGGGGAGTTGTTGTGGCAGTGAGAGCGAAAGCACGGTACAGACTACGAGGTCTGGTAGTTTATGCTATTTGCTATTTCTCTTTCTATAAATTAATGCTGACATGTGGGGAGAAGTGTTTGTGGTGCTGAAGACATCAGGAACTGGTGAGTTAATAAATCAAACATAACCATATTGATCAAAATTGTAGCTATCATTACATAATTACACCTTATTGAGCCAGATGAAAAAATGGCTCTCAGGAGTTAACATGGGGCGTTGTCAATTTGGTGTGGGGTTTACAAATTCAACTTGAATATTACATACAGCATTATAAGCCTTAGAGACTTCTGTGGATTTAGATCAAGGACTGTTAGCAGGTCAAATTATTATTTTGAGCAAATTGTTTATTTATTGTTTTGAGCAAATTGTTTAATATGTACCCAACAGGGAATCCGATGGACTCATGGCGAGCTAAAGTTATCTCCTGAGAAATATTAGGTGTGGCATTAATGATAAAGATTATGATTAAGAATTGTTTATGCGCAAAATATTTAATAGATCCTTGCGAGCCCCAAGGAGTGCTATTTTTGTTTAGCAATTTCAAATACTTAATATGTGATAGTATTAACAGCATATACAGCATATACATTATTGACGTGATGTTCAAAACATAAATGTGAAGGTGATGTTCCAGTGGTCATTGGTCATTTAAGACACCTCTCTCATGCCAATAATATATAACAACAAAATGTGTTGTTTTGATGGAATAAACCACAAAGACAAAGGCATATGAGAAAGTCCGGACTTTACTTGATCACTGTTGACATTTCACAAGAAGATCATATTGTATGACTGCTTGGAAGTGTGTTTCATCTGTGGCACATATCCTATTCAGTTGCTGCCTTGCCCTGTAAAAGAATAGAAAATATCCCATCTATTTACTAATAAAATTCAGCTTGCTTCTAACGTGATTTACCTATGATGATTTCCAGTAAAGTCATAGATACAGTATTCATGAATATATTATATATTTATAAAATAATAGAAATTAAGTTCTATTGAGTGAATCAGTTATAGGAATATGTTTTTTACCCTCCACAGAAGTATGTCTTTTTTTTTGTACTTTAACTTTCCAGCATCACGGCTGTTGGCTCACAGCTTGTTGATCTGGGACTCAACGATGTCAGCACACTCCTGAGCTTCCTCCAGCTCATGCTGCACCTTCCTGTACCTGGACAGGTGAGGAAGCCTCCTCAGCCTGTCTCTTGTAGGCCTTCACTTTGAGCTGCAGCTTGTCCACCAGAACCTGGAGCCTGTTCACATTCTTCTTATCCTCAGTCTGTAGGCATTATAGACAATCTCAATAATGCTTCTCGAGACACAATATTCAAAGCCCTATATACTGTATCTACAGTGATGGATATCGTGAATATAAAGATTAGATACCTGGTAGGTGAGCTCCTTGACTCTTCCCTCATATTTGCGGAAAACTTTAATAGCATCGCCTCCACGTCTTTGTTCAGCTTCAACCTCACTCTCAAGCTCATGCACCTGGAATATTGATACAATATTATCTCAATAAATAATATATTTTCCCATGTTTAACCAAGCCTGAAACTTTTCCACACACATAGATACCTCTTTAACTCCAGTCCAAGCATTTGAAAAAGAGAACAACTGATGGAAATTTAAGATAGGATTTATTACTCTGTTGCACTTTTATTTTTTTTGTGTTAAAAAGTATTCTGCACTCATCCCACTTGGCATAAAGTAGCAATAATAAACATGAAAATATTATATACTTTTTACTTCACCTTATGTTCTTATTAGGACAAATAAAGCATCTTGCTCTTTCATGCTCCCCACGATTGCCTAATGCATTGAGCCTCACTGTAAGGTAAGTGCGAGGTACCTTTCAGCATCCAGTTGTAGAACACCCTAGACTCAAACTCCATGATGGCTGCACAGTTACCTTCACATTTTGGGTTGGAATGTATGTGAATTGATGTTTCTATTGGTAATTTTGTTTTTAGAAGTGTGCAGTTGAATCTGTACATAAACAGTAACTACATGTATATCCGATTAGCTGTTTTACGGGGTTTGACATGCTAAGAAAAACAGCAATGCTAAAAGAGCAGTTCTTTCATTGACATATACTGTAGTTGTAATATTTGTGTACTAGAATCATAGCATTTTTTGTTTTATTATATTGACCTTAATAGCTCTGTTCCAACTTAACAGCTAACTTAAACAGCTGATCTTCCCTATAATGAGAGAGAGAGAGAGAGAGAGAGAGAGAGAGAGAGAGAGAGAGAGAGAGAGAGAGAGAGAGAGAGAGAGAGAGAGAGAGAGAGAGAGAGAGAGAGAGAGAGAGAATTTAAGCATCTCTGTGCAAGCAAGTGTCTTTGTAGGCCTATGTGCATTTGGAGCTGGAGCTGATGTGGTAGTAAGTGGGAGAGCATGACACAGACTACCACAGGTGTTAAGATGAGGAATACATTTGTGGTGTGGAAGACTGTCAGCATCAGGACCCGGTGACGGTGAGTTGCATAATAACCTTAGTCAGACATGTCTGTTACCATCATGTCTAAATATAGCATGACGACAGTTGTCCAGAGAGAGTCCAGATAGTGTACATTCAAGTTTGCAGTATGACCATTGGTGAGTATACAGTATACTAGGGGTGTAATGTACAATATTCGTACTAAACCGTTCGGTATGGAGAACTCGGTTCGGTCCGCACTGTGAACCCGAATTAATACATTTCATGTTCTTTTCTTTTCTTTTTAACACTAGGCCTATAGGCTATGCCTACACAGCATTGTAAAAAACATTGTCGGATATTCCGTTAAAACAACTATAGTCTATGCGCACATTGTAATCAAAATTCAAATCTTAATTGGTGCATTTCACACTATCCTTTTGTGAGGCACACTTTGGGAACATTTTGGCTTCACAGTAGAAGCCAAAATGTATTGAACTTAGTAGGAAATCAACTAAATGTATTGAATTTATTAGAACATTAATGAATGTTCCCAAGATGATAAGACATGAACAAAATGCATAAGTGATTCATATTTTCCTTAAACTTTCTGAAGAGGCAACGGTGCGGGAATGACCCTATCTGTGTGTGCGCGCGTTTGTCTGTCAGTATGTAGCCATTAACGATGATGCTAATGACAACAGTCTTCTGGTAGATGGAAAGGCTTTCCAAAAAACCTTCTCAATTAAATGTTAACTACAAAGTTCTCTATGCATACCTGGCAGAATGATATAATGATTATTTGCATCAATCCAGTAGTGATTTGTTCAGCAAACTCTGCAATCACATGTGTGCTACAGAAACACTGCTAACCAAACCAGGCTCTTGCTGGTGTGCACCTAAATTAAAGGGAATTTTAAAGGGTATTTTTCCCAGACCTCAAAAATGGTCTCCTGATGTGGTTCAAGCATTGTTGTGGACTTATAACCTCCAATTTTGTTGTTTTTTATTGAAAAAAGTGTGATTTTGAGAATTAAAACATAAAAAAACAGGGACAAATCGGAAACCTGGAAAAACTAATGGAGAAAGCGGAATTAGGCAAAAAAATTAAACCGATTTTATAGGGCCGTATATTATATGGCTCATTATCTATTTCTGGGTTAGTTTTAAATTTTTTGCCAAAACAAAAATGAACTACTGTAACTGTTGACATTTCATTTTCCGCTGTACCGAAACCGAACCGAACTTTGACCCCAAAACCACAATACATACCGAACCTTCAGTTTGGTGAACCTTTACACCCCTAGAGTATACCCAATGATGAACAGACTGTAGTCACTCCTCAATTGCATGCATGATATAGAGTGTATGGTTGCATTAATAGGATCTCACAAATTTCAACTTTCTACTGTCCAAGAGTAAACTATGAGCTACTAATACATGAATCCAGTGTATTGGTTGTAAGGGTCTTACAGTAACTGTAAGTTCACTGATGAAAAAAAGCAATTTAGATCGAACGTTACAATTGGAAGGATATATTATAAATGTTTTAAAGTGTATGTTGTGATGTCATGCTGTGATGCTTGTCAATAAATAAACACACATTTTGATGAATGTCTTATTGTTTGTTTGTTTATTGTTGATACAGTCCACTCTTCTGTTCCAGGAGCATGAATGCCAGTCTGTTTTTGCTTTAACCAATGTGTTGCATTGTTTGACAGGACAATGATGAGTGCATTGTTGAATGCAGAAAAGGACTGGCTAGCTGCACAGTAAGTGTGGCAATAGTGAGTTTGGACATTTCTTCCATCTTCCACTGGTCTTAGCATGGACTGTCCAAGTATTTCGATATGATGCCAACGAAGGATCATATTCAAGCAGTCTTTCTCCACTAGAATCACAGGGATGGTTTTGCAATGGTTACATATATTATTATTATTTTTTGTCATTTTAGCAGACGCTCTTATCCAGAGCGACTTACAGGAGCAATTAGGGTTAAGTGCCTTGCTCAAGGGCACATCGACAGATTTTTCACCTAGTCGGCTCGGGGATTAGCACCAGCGACCTTTCGGTTACTGGCACAACGCTCTTACCCACTAAGCTACCTGCCGCCATGTGATATGTTTGGATGATAGTCAATAAAAATGTAACGCATGATGTTCCTTGAATCTTGTTTTACTATAAATATAGTCACTCCCCCTCAGAGGATTGCTGTTACTATTGGTGGTTTACAGACTATTCATACATACATATTTAGAGGAGAGCCGGTGTGACATTTTTGTACATAATTTTTTTTTCTTGCTGTTTGCCTGAGTAATCACCGGTGGCAAAGAATTCCAAGTTGACTTCAAGAAAAGATCCAAGATGATCCTGCATCCATTTTTATGAATAGAAACTGTTATATTTATCTTGATGTAATACTGTACACAACAGCTGATCTAATCCATCTTTGAGAATTCCACAGAGAATAATCTATTATTTTAGCTACATGTGAAGACAAGGAGTGTATTTAAAGTGGAATCCAGTCTGTGTTGTATGTGAAGTGTCAGGATCCCATATCTATCTATCATCTAAACCCTGTGTGTCATTCAATCCCTATGACTGCCTTAGATCTGTCATAATAGTCTCCAGAGTAGCCTGTAAATAGCCTGTTTGGATCCAATGGTGTGGGACAGAGGTGCCTAGACGGTGTTTCATCCGACACATTGGTGCAGCTGGCTTTCGGGTTAAGCGAGCAGTGTGTCAAGAAGCAGTGCAGTTTGGCAGGGTCCTGTTTCGGAGGACGCATGGCCCTCGACCTTCGCCTCTCCCGAGTTCGTAGGGGAGTTGCAGCGATGGGACAAGACTGTAACTACCAAATGGATATCACGAAATTGGGGAGAAAAAAGGGTTAAAAGTACAAAAAAATATATAATAAAATTAAATAAAAATCATATTTTTCCTGTTTTTTATATTGTTTTTGTACATTAGCTGATGAAACTAAAAGTGTGAAAGTGTGATCAGCGTCACAATTTCATGATAGTTGCTGGCTGGAAATACAATCTACGGGACCTTATTTTCAGCAGGTTTTGCATGGGTGGACTTTGTCTTATAGCAGGTGATTTTTTAAATCTGATAAACAGCCCATACAGTGTTTAAAATCACTGAGAAACAACCGTAATGACCATCACTTTTCATAACCAGAAACAATCATAACATGTCCCATAATGCACGGCAGACAGGAATTGTCACCTAACATTAAAATAATGTTCATGCCAGGGGTTGGTAAGTCATAAGGACAGTACAGGACAGATGCCTAAAGTATGCCAGTGATGGATGAAGCTGACATTTTCAGGTATTTAGCACCTTATCAAGAAATACCTACAGTAGTGCTCGTCATCAAACACACAAAGCAGCCGACAATGGCATCTTAGATTATGCTTCAGCTCTGCACTTGAGAATGATTAGCTCCTTTCCACAAATAACTTATTAGAGCTTAAAGGACAATTCAACCACTTTGTAATCAGTTATTATGCTGTTAGCATATATGCACTACTATTAGATTTGATACACATTTTGATGTTTTATCTTTTTTGTTAATCATACTGCACGATTCCTTGTTTTAGTCATGTTTGAAGCTTCTGCATTGCCCTTGTCTACAGTATACTACAATTCCCAGGGTGCATTTCACCTCCCAGGATGCAATGCTCCACCCAGTCTGCAGTTAGTTTCGCTGGCTAGCAAGCCCAGGCGAAGTGTATGTCATAAGTTATGAGTGCATTTCACATTAGTTTTGGGTTGTTATCATATTATAATGCTTGCATGAATATCATGCTGAATATATGTTCATTTCATTGTCACCAATCAACTGCATTACACTCAAAAATAATTTGAATTTAGATGCTAACGAATGCTAACCATAAGTTACTGTATCTGATGGTTAGCTAGCATGCTAGCTAGCCCGACTACTACATCTGAAATAATGTTTGCAACAATAACAGCGTTTAACAACAGTCCAAACAACATGTAGGCCTGTTAGAACACAACATGTATTATGAAATGTGCAAGCAAATCACTACGGAATCCTGTC